TGGATGGATGGATGGATGGATGGATGGATGGATGGATGGATGGATGGATGGATGGATGGATGGATGGATGGATGGATGGATGGATGGATGGATATAGATAGATAGATAGATAGATAGATTAGGATCCAGATCCAGTTAGGAGCTTCGCCAAAATCAATGACTGCTTTGACATTAAAATAAACCAGTCACCTAAGGTTACATCTCCATGGTTACGCTCAGCACGGCAGCTGTAAAGGGCAGGTGAGGGATAACATGACACTACATTCAGACATGATTTGATGCATTTGTTGCACATGATGTTAGGCAGACGTGTTCCTCTGCCCAGCAGAACTCAGGTTAGCACATGTGAACCTGCTGAGCCTGTCACCATTCATATGAAGAACTATATTAGGTGTCCTGTAGCTTTACTGCAGCTGGCTGGACCTTACATAAGGTCAACATTTGACTATGAAAAACAATCAACTTGTTGCATCACACAAAATAAACGTGTTTACATCAAATAATAGAGCGAGAGCCTGAGTGAGTGAAGTAAGGTGTCCCTTACTTTTTGTTCTCTGAATTTGTGCTTCACATTTAACCCATCCAAGAGCGCGCACACACACACACACACACACACACACACACCTGGGGTTCGGTGTCTTGCTCAAGGTTTCTCACCTCAGTTGTGGTACACCTACAATCCCTGCTGGTACTGAGACTCCAACTTGTGATCTTTGGGCTACAAATCTGACTCTCTAACCATTGGGTCATGACTTCCACCAAAGTAATGAGTCAAAACAGCACAAATGTAGCAGTAGTATGTAAACAAACATTTGTGGATGTCACTAATGACACATCAGATGTTGCAATAACTCATTCAAGAACATCTGGCTGGATCATGGTAAACCATCATCATGTTAAACAGTGACTGAGCTATTTGTTCATCATAATAATTAAATGTCAAGAAGGACATTTTGTATTTAGTTTTACTAAAGTTCATTGAGAAAATTATATTGAATAGATTAAATTAAACAAACAGAACAATCTCTGCAACACTGATTGTTAGTTGAGAGCCAAAATAGTAGAATTTTTATTTTTGAAAAATTATATATACATATAAATGCAACATGCAACACAACTCCTTGTTCAAGCTCTTGTTCTGTCCAGGCTGGACTATTGCAATGCTCTCTTGGCAGGGCTATTTGCACTTATATATAGTTGCTCTTTTGTTAGTTTTGACTGCTTTTATTGTCCTCATTTGTATGTCGCTTTGGATAAAAGCGTCTGCTAAATGACTAAATGTAAATGTAAATATACAGTGTAGGGTAGATTACTTACAAATTGTAGTCTGTTACTGTTTCCAAATTACATGACAAAAATTGTAGTTAGTAAGGTAATCCATTACATTACACATTACAGGTAATAAAATCAGACTACTTTTTAATTACTTTTAGATTACTTTTGACCTAACTCGTTTATTAAATAGGATAATCTTGTACCATAAATATACATATAAATATATGGAATATAAATGGAATATAAATAATTCCATTCACTGTTATTAACAACATGAAGTGCATTAAACATTACATTACGTCAAAGTTTCCCAAACTGGGGTTTGTGAAGGAACTGCAGGGGTTTGTGAGTTTAATGAAAAGCTAATAATGAATTAAATCATAAAAATGTCAAATTAAAATAAATCTTTTTACAATGACAACAATCAAAATGAAACACTTGATAAAAAATATGGGATTTTATACCTATTTACCTGCATGTCATGTGACCATGTGAATAATATGCAATCATGTAATCAATAAAAAATAAAATTTTAAAATGTAATATAATCTAATTAGAAGTATAATTTTTGGAATTTGATTACATGTAACCAGTTACTACCCAGCACTGTGTGTATCTTATGGGTTATATTCTATTGTGTCCAAAAGCATAGTATTTTCATATTGTCATTTTTTAAATAGAAATATTAAAAAAAAGAAAGAAAACTCACCCAACTTACTGTATTTTCTTAATTGATGAGAAATAATGTGTTTATCAATGTCCCATGTTACCCAATCTGTATGTCATATTTTATTGATTTATTTAAAGTTTAATGCTTGAAAAATAATTAAAATATTGCTTGAAAAATATCTCTAACAGTTTCAATAAATGTAAATTTGTACATTTAAAATGTGTTGTAAATGAATGCATTCATAATTCGATTGCCTGTACACTAAGGAAGGAATCCAAACGATGGCAACATTTGAAGATTCTTCGGTCACATCAAATGAATGATTTCTCTGAGACTGTGATGTCTTCTGGTCAGGGAGCTGCAGTGAGTCTCAGGTGTGAGTCAGGAGGGCACGTTTACCCTCAGATTACGAGCAAATGCTCCACGGAACCATTCATTAAAGTAATTATTCTGGTTGAGCTGCACTGTACAGTGGTTTTGACAGTGCTGGCAGATGCTAATTTACCGCTCACTGTGGCTCACACACATATGCAGAAGCAGTTTCTGTGATGGAAAGGCAGCTGCTTAGTCTTTCATTAGCATGAAGAGTGAAGAAAACCAATGAGAATCTAATGAACTGGCATGGCAACCGTCTTATCAGAGGAACTGAACTTGATTGAGTGTTTTTGTGGCTGTCGACATGCTAAGACAAGCATCACTATACTATTCAGGGTTAGAGATTTGAACAAGCCTTTACTTTAAATACACTGAACAAAATTATAAACGCAACACTTTTGTTTTTGCCCCCATTTTTCATGAGCTGAACTCAAAGATCTAAGAGTTTTTCTATGTATACAAAAGGCCTATTTCTCTCAAATATTGTTCACAAATCTGTCTAAATCTGTGTTAGTGAGCACTTCTCCTTTGCCGAGATAATCCATCCACCTCACAGGTGTGGCATATCAAGATGCTGATTAGACAAAGTGTTGCGTTTATAATTTTGTTCAGTATATGAAACTTGCGTAAGTGTGCAAGACACAGTGCTATTTTAGTATTATTTATATAGTATTATACTGTATATATTTGTCAATATTTTGAAATTGTTTTATTTTTATATTTCAGTTTTCATTTTAGTTTTATTTGTAGTAGTTTTTTGTGGTTTTTAAAAAATGTCATTTTTAGTTTTATTACAGTTTTAGTTTGAATTTATTTCAGTTAATAATTTTATTACTTTAATTCATTTCAGTTCGTTGCCATGACAACATTTCAAGTTTCATTTTTTTTCATCTAGTCTTTGTTTTATTTTATTTCAGCTTTATTTCAATTAACAAATTGTTTTAATAGTTTTAGTGTTCGATTTAGTAAACAATAACAACACTGGTGAGGTATGTTATGGCACCAAAATGTGTTTTTAATAACTTTTATTTTTATATTTTCAGTTTTCATTTTAGTTTAAGTTTTAGTAATTTTGTTATGTGCGTTTGACACATTTATTAGGTTTCAATTTTTTTTATTTTTTTTTATTTTATAATTTTATTTTAGTTAGTAATTGTTTTACTTATATATATATTATATACTGTATATATTTTAATTTGAGCTTAATTTCAATTAACAATTACATTTTTTTATTTTGTATTAGTTTAATGACAACAAAACTGGTGGCAAGTTGTGCACAGTTAAGCATGATTCATTCAGAAAGTAAGATTTATTAGGTTTCAATTTTTTTTATTTTTTTTTATTTTAAAATTTTATTTTAGTTAGTAATTGTTTTACTTATATATATATTATATACTGTATATATTTTAATTTGAGCTTAATTTCAATTAACAATTACATTTTTTTATTTTGTATTAGTTTAATGACAACAAAACTGGTGGCAAGTTGTGCACAGTTAAGCATGATTCATTCAGAAAGTAAGAATTATATTTATCACAGACAATAATTAATAATCTTTACAGATGAATTAACAGGTCAGTAACGTTTATTGACCTGTGCATATGTGGATTCAGCAGACAGCCAATGGTTTCTTTCCCGTGGCGTTCATGCCCTGCTAAATTCAGACAGCATTCCATGGCGCAAATAGCCGGAGTGTTGGTGAACAGCTGCAGTGGTGAGGTTTATCCATGTTACCTCTGCTAACCCCACACACTCACAAACACACACACTTTCACCACTATATTTAACCCTAATGGAGACAACGGGACACTAGACATCTGTTGAACGCCAGCAGATCTTTCACTGCATTGTTTAATGGCTCATCCCTATCTAATGTGAAAATGGACACTCGTTCACAGACACAGAGATAGAGGGACAGGTGCGGGATCTGTGCCTTTATAGGGGCACGTTGGCAGTAGGTATTATCAGCTCCGAAGACTCAGTAGAAATGTACTTTAGGGTCATGACTGAATGCTGTGCTGTTTAATAACAAAAAATTAGTTTCAATTTTTAAAAAAATTGTAAATGTAACTTAATTTAAGTTAATTTGAAATTATTTTTTATAAATTTGTATAAATTTTTATTTATCTACAAATTTTTATTTTTTGTTAATTTAGGAATCATCTTGTTTTAGAAATATTTTTTTGTTTTATAATCTTTATTTTATTTTATTTAAATGAGAGTCCTCTAAGAATCTAATAAGGTTACAATAATATCAAAGGAGCAAACCTTTGAAAAAAACAAACAAAAAAAACAAACATTAAAAGAATCTTAAATGAAGGGATTAATTATACTTTGCAATATACAATGCTCTTTTACAGTATAATTTTGTATATTTGAGTGTACGTACCCAGTTTTCCTTTATAGTGGTTTTTCTCCAACAGGATATCAATACATTTCTTCTCCATGGATCGCTTGGGAGAAGTGGGCGGGGTCACTGGAGGGGTCTCGTCGGCTGCCATTGGACGAGCCCCATAGAAGGCGAGACCTAAACAACCCCCACTACTCATCCATGCAGCCAGCCTTCACCAATTCATTTCTCAAAGCAGTGAGAGACGTGCTTTGCTTCTATTGTGATCAAACCACACGAGGAGAAGAACTACAGGAACATAAGGACCTAAACAACCCCCACTACTCATCCATGCAGCCTTCACCAATTCATTTCTCAAAGCAGTGAGAGACGTGCTTTGCTTCTATTGTGATCAAACCACACGAGGAGAAGAACTACAGGAACATAAAGCAGCCGAAACACTGGAAACTTAAAGCAAGAACATAATTTCTCACTATAACCGTGAAGAGCTTTGAATCCAGGAACTCACTGACCGGTAAGTAATAAATGTTCATTGGCAAAGTGTGATCTATTTGTTTTTTTTTTTTTAAGTACTTTAAGAGATGCATAATTAATAAGAGCAGAAAACGAAAATGAGTGAAATAAAATACAAAAATAACATTTTTGATTCCGTTTTTGATGGTCTTAGAGAGCTGGACCGTATTTTCTATATGTAAAGTGTATCTATACCTTCTTTTATTTACTTTGTATACGAGTCAGTGACGTCACGTGCAATTTTTTGTCCAGATATGTTACTCAGAAATACATAAACAAAAAGCAAAAAAAAAAAAAAAGATAAATGTTAGTGGTTTGGCATTAATATTCATTAATAATATTAATAATAATAATAGAAGCAGACTATTTTTAAACTTTTTTATTTTTTTTGTATATTGAAGTAATTTGGTGTATTTCTGTATTCATTGTGGCACATTAAGGTGCATGCTGTTGTCCTCTGGGGTCATGAAGTGGCTAAACTGATCATTAGAAGATTAAAGAGGAAGATGTCTTCTAGCTGAGTTTAAGAGAGCATACTTGGGTTTTAGTTCAACTAATATATATATATATATATATATATATATATATATATATACTTTATGCTTGTGGCAGTGCATTGAATATTGGCATGGCAGATGGCCTGTAAGCATGTCAGCTCTAAATCTCTGAGTTCTCTGGACCTTATGGTCAGCAGACAGGGAACGAGAGGACAGAGGTCATGGAGAAAGTGGGAAATCAGCAGAAGGTACTCTATAAAACTCGAAAAAAGAGTGATTTTGGATGTGTCCCAACATTAGTTTGCTGAGGAATTACACAAGCAGACTAAATCTCTGGCACAAAAGTCATATTTTGATTTCACATCATGTTTGAATGGATGGGGCAATACAGTATGATGCACTTTGAATGTGAATGGTCCGTAACGATCAATCAATAGTTTGCATTGCCAGTATCCAAAGACGTGTGACTGTTTGATGAGGCAAAGATCTGTTTTTCAGTTAACTTCATTGGGAAACCTTTACAATCAATGATGTGAGTACATCCCAGAATTTTCTAGAGACAAAGGCGTGACATCAGCTCAACATGCCTGACCAATCCTATACCTTCCTCAAACTTTGTCCTGGATGCACCTCACGTCCAAGGCCAGAGATGAGCATATGATTTTGTAGGATGATCAGCAGTCATGTCTGAATCAAGTGAGGTCTTGGAGTTCATTTAGATTGATATTATTCTCTGTAAGCTTGAGCTTTCATGTGAGATTCATGTGAGATTTGATTTTATAATTATTAGGAATTCACTGGGTTGTGAAAAGTTCTGTAAATTGAATCATTCTATTGTAATTGTACAAAAATATGGTATTTTGTACATGCAACATGGATGAGTTTAACTCAAATCTATCTATAAAATGTTTACACAAATCCACAATTATAATAGAATATATATAGCAATTAAATTTACAGAACCTTCATTCATTTAAATAAAACCATAGAAAAGCATAAACACACCTAAAGCACATCATTTAAAGTTAAAAATGTCTCTGAAACATTTTTTGCCTTTTGCCCTGCATTTTGCCTTCTGACGTCAGGTTCCCAATTCATAAACACAAACTTCCCAGTAGGACTAGACAGACAGACAGACAGACAGACAGACAGATAGATAGATAGATTTTATAGGTAAAATCAACCTCAGTTGGCAGTCTAGAGCAATCATTGCACAGGGCAGGTCCTTCTGACCTCAATCGGGTCAAACATGGTATTTTGGAATAAATACCAAATACATGATGCATATGGTATCAAGTCAAGTCAAGTCTGCTTTATTGTCAATTCTTCCACATGTACAGCACATACACACAGAGAATTGAAATTGCGTTACTCTCAGACCCTTGGTGCATACAGATAACACTAACAGTAGAACATAAATACAGATAGATACAGATTTAAATATAAAATACAACTATACAATTATACAAATAAGGTAAAATGTAAAAAAATATATAAAGCAGCACAAGGCGCATGGCAGATAGAGTGCAAACTGGTGAAGTAAACAACAGTGCAGATATAATGATTGTAGTGCAAAAGAGTTTGTTATCATACAGTATCATAGTAATACCACCACAGTGTTCATTTGTAGGTGGTTCAGTTACTAAGCGCCCTGTATGGTGAACACCAGGACTAGCAGGACTTTGTTGAAGAGTGCTGGTTGTGAAAGTGTTGAACCCCAGTTTACCCTCAGAAGCCTCTGGGGCTTTAATGTAAAACGGTGGGCAGGTGGCCTTTTGACGCTCAAATTGACGCTTGAACTTCAGGCTTGCTCATAAAGAGAAGAATGAATGTTTGCTATCTGCTGTTGTGGATGTACTGCACTGCAAAGGTGCCATTTGCTTTAGATTGCTTTTTTATGATGTTTTGAAAGCAAGAGCTGTGATTTGTAGTGACTATTGAGCTGTGTGAAGCATTCATCCTTGAGTGTTGAGTTACCTTAATTTACGTCCAATTTAAAGGTTTATATGCCCTCATTTGGAAGTTGACGGAAGGAGGCATTTAGACTCAGGGTGTCAATTCTATGTGATTCACTGTTTGCCAAACATTTCAACCTACCTAATTAAAAGCTCCCTTGTGCAAGCATGCATTTAATTGACATTATCCCCACATCTTTCAAATGATTTCCTATACTCATCATCACCAAGGTCAAATCAAATTTAATAATGTGATGTCACTGTCTGCAGATGTTGACAGCCACAATTGTTACCCCACCATGCACAACCAGTTAAGCATTTTAAGTTATCTTCCTCCTGCATGCACATACACTTAAGTTGACTGTCAATCATCTGTGGGAACCAGATGTGGGAGTTTTGTGGTCGGTCCAGGTCAGAGAATTTGAGACCGGATGAAATATATATATATAAATCTAAATTTAATATTGTGCATATATAGTATAAAAATATATATTAAGTATAATATACATTTGTTATATATTTTATTATGTAGATTTTATTATAAAAAAAAAGTAAAAAAAAAAAAGTATAAAAATATATATGCTGACACTTGTTTTGACCAGTGAAACATTCATGAAAAAGAATGTAAAAAACATTTTTATTTATTGTTATATAAAAATACATTCTTTCTTATAATCCTTTTCATAAATTCCAGAAAACGTCTCTGGGAAATATCATGATGCTTATGGGGCCATGTTCAGCCCCAAATGGTTTGAGATGAGTTATATTTGCTCTGCTCTTTGAAAGGGAGCATCTAAACATGTTCTGTTTCTCATAAAATAGATTCAGAGAGACTTTACAAAAGTCATTGGTGGCTATTATGCATGCCATATTTGTAAAGGAGACTTAAAATTAGTCTGACTCTAGTTTGAGGTGTTGGTCAGTGTGACGTCTGTATTATTGTGAATGTCAATAAGGCAGCACATTGTTGTATGGTCATCAAGGACAGTGCATTGTGTGAAACAGCTGCGAGGGATGATAAAAATGAGGAGAGAGCATGACAGGTCTTCTTAATACTAAGCTTTACACCTGAGTTATTGTATTTCGCTCATCTCAAAAGTTGTTAGTTGTACCTTTACCCTATGATTCTGTCCACTTTGTAACTGCATGTTGCTAATTATTATTATAATGCGCTCTTACGTGATCCTTTTTTTATGACCATCTATTGACCTTCCTATGTTTGCAAAAAGACTAGCTGACCTGTATTCCACCTCAAATTGCTTCACCGAGTTGCTAAATTTATCAGCTCAAATAGACGTCTTTAATGACCTTGGCCGCAACTGGTTTTCTTTAATGGTCAACTCGATATTTAGCAGCGTTAGGGCTGCCAAAAACATGTATCGCAGGCAGCCTCGGGACTCCATGCCTCACATATCACTGTCATGTGAAATTCAAGCTCCTGCCAGAATTCAAACCCAACCCACTCTGGACCCCAAAGAGGAGCTGCTGTTTGTAATGTCTGATCAAAAGTTTGTCACATTATCCTATTGATGCTGATTATTCAAATACAGGCATAATTGAATAATACCTCAATGAGGATCAAATGTACATCATTATCATTATTTCACAATGAACCCTGACAGGGTGATTGGGCATTTATTTGGAAGGGTTTATTTTGGGATAAGTCTGACTGTACATTATTCCACTTTTATATGGGTTTTTAATTGAATGTAATGTTTTTTGTTCTGTTTTGATTCTAAAATGATAAGAAACTTAAACAAGAAATTTGTGAGTTTTTTTGTTTTTGAAAAGTCTCTTATGCTCACCAAAGCTGTATTTATTTGATGAAAAATACTAAAGCTGTGAAATATTATTACAATTTAATATAATTGTTTTCTATGTGAATATATTTTCAAATATAATTTATTTCTGTGATGCAAAGCTGAATTTTCAGCATCATTACTCCAGTCTTCAGTGTCACGTGATCCTTCAGAAATCATTCTAATATGCTGATTTGCTGCTCAAGAAACATTCCTAATTATTATCAATGTTGAAAACAGTTGCGCTGCTTCATATTTATGTAAAGCCATATTTTTTTTCAGGATTCTTTGATGAATAGAAAGTTCAAAAGTATGCTTAAACAGTATGTTTAAGATCACATAAATCACCATTGTATGATTTCTAATCAAGCACAGAATATTTTAAAAAGTTTCCACGTCACTCTGACTCATTATGTTGCTAGTTTTACATTTTAATAGTGCTGGAATTTAATCTCAAGTCGGCATCAGTCTCATTTGGAAATAGACTAAGACTTTCCTCGATTATCTGGCTGTAAACGAAAACACTCGTACACGCAGACGGTTGTTGTTGTGAGCGGTCTGTGTTAAATATATCATGACAGCTGGGCGTCTCAATGGCCCTACTGTTTTACACATTCTCCTGCAGCTTCCAGAGTTCAGTGGACTAAAAACCTCAATCATAAAATAAACAGTAACGTTGTTAATGTTACTGAGCCTCCATCTTTGCAGGGAGTGTGTAGAGACTCTTCGCTGAAAAGCGAGAACATCTTCTGGCCTAAAATGACACCCTGGTGGGCCGTGCCTCATTGTTGTCATTGTAAACTGACGACTTAATAGCTTGCATAAATGGAAATTAGGACTCGTTGAGCGCACTGCCTTTTAGTATTATGTATTCACTCTTATAGTATTATAATTTTTTAATATTACCTTTATTTTTGTATTTTCTGGTTTCATTTTAATTTTTGTTTAGGTTTTTTGGAATTTTGTTGTGATTGTCATTTTTATTAGTTCTCGTATTTTAAGATTTCTATTTAGCTATATTTAGTATAAACTTTTTTTATTATTATTTCAGTTAGTTGCCAGGGCAACATTTCTAATTTTTAGGTTTTTCATCTAACATATATATTTTTTACATTTTGTTTCTGCTTTATTTCAGTTACAAAAATTATTGTTAATAGTTTGAGTCAGGGTTATTGTAGTTAACTAAAAGTAAAACCATAAAAAAAACAATTTCATTACTTAAAATAAAATAAACTTGAACTGAAATAAAATAAAATAGAAAAGAAATTTAAACTTATTTTTATTTCGGCTAGTTTCCAAAGCAACATTTCATTTAGTTTAATTTCATGCACTAAAATAACAAAAAAAAATAAAATAAAATACAGACATATTAAAAAATACTAATATAAATTACATACTAAAACTTTAACTACAAAATCTAAAAGTGAAAACTAGTTCAAAATATGAATTAAAACTGTAATAGTATCTCCATGATACTAAAATAACACTGGTTTTAGTTTTAGTTCACAATAACAATGCTAGACATATGAAACAGATTTTTAGGTGTTTTTAATGCATGTAGTTAATATTCATATAGTTGAATTTTTTGTAATTGTTTAAAATCTTTATCTTTTTCAGCAACTTGGTATCAGACAGTTCACACGTGGGATATCAAATACTTCCACTATGGAACCGTCCAGATCAGAAATGAGTATCCTGCCCAATGGGAAAGGTCAGGACCTGGGAGAGGAAATGTGCGTGTCGATGAAGACTATGATGGAGGAAGAACAGTAAGCACTTTTGCGTCACTTCAATTATTAAATTTTATCTGTAAAAACTTCATTGTCATGCACTGTAAGATAAGTTCCTTGCATGTGTGTCTGTCTACATAACGGGAAGTGTTTGCTTTCTCATGTACCACCTGCATGGCGGACCAGGCCTCTTTAAACAGTGGTTCTTAACTGGTTTTTCATGATTTTTAGCATTGCGTTTTCCCTGCCTTCCGCCAGCCCATCAGAACAGACCTGTAACCCATTTGAACTTATATCAGTTTCACTGTGTCTCTGTGCTTCTGTAATGAGGTCTTTCCTTTGTATGCTCCTCAAATCACTTTTATCTTCTGGCATGGTGTGCTGACTTGTCTAAGTGCATGTTTACCCTTTGTCCACTCTTGCTCGATGATGGACCTTCTCACACTCTCGATCAACCCTCAGAAACGGTACCCATCATGGCAGGTATGTCAATAACAGGAAACAAATGACTGCTAGATGCAGTTAGGGAAAATTACTTGATGCACCTTGCAAGATCATTGTCGATTAAATGTCGACTCGTCCTTCCAACAGGTTTGATGATCCTGACAGCACACTTGCTGAGAACATTGAGTTCCTGCCCAACAGTGAGGGCAAGAAGCCACGTTTCACTGATGTAAGTATGTGCAACATTTGCTGTGAACTTTCAACCGAAAGCATATCACAGTTAGAAACGGAATGATTTTTCAGACTGAGAGATTTGACTGTGTTGATGTCCTCTCGGTTAGCTGTTGTAGCAGTTCTGTTTTAGTTGCTCATCAATTTCATTTCCTCTCTTAGTTTGAGGGGAAGACCTCTTTTGGCATGTCAGTCTTCAATTTGGGCAATGCCATTATGGGCAGTGGGATTTTGGGATTGGCCTACGCTATGGCCAATACTGGCATACTGCTTTTCCTGTAAGTGAAATCCCTTCATTACCCTCTTAATGAAAGATTGGCTGGAAAAGTAATTGATTGTTGTATGTTCTGATGTGAAGCATCACTGAATCATCTCATAGTCATGCAAATGAACCTGTCACTTCCAGCCCTCAATGAATCGGCGTTTTCTCTTCATCTGAATGTCAAGCATTTGGCAGACCACTGGCTGTCTAATTGCCATGGTAATTAAAGTATTGTTTTACATGTGTTATTTTTTCCAGACATGCTCTTGAATAATTGAGTTTTCCCTTTTGGAGGCTGTTAATGTTGATGGTGTACCAGAAAGGGTTTACTATGGAAAAGATCCGCCCCGTTGCATTCTGTTAAATGACACGTAAACCACCGTTTGACCTTTTCTAAAAACATCAGGCCCGTGTTTCAGGGTTTTTTAAGGTACTGCAAGTTAAAAATGATGACAAACTCATAAAATAATGTATGCCAGCAAATAAAAAATTAGTTGGTTAAATTAAGATTATTATGTTTTATCAGGCTGGTTTTTAAAGTGTTTTAAAGAAAGGGATAATGTACAATTAGCTGGTATTTATTTTGCAATAATAAATTTGTGTGTATATATAATTTAAAATAAATATTTTGCAATTTTTATACATTTACATTAAATATATATACAAAACTATACCCATTTAATATATACATTTAAATAC